TACTGATAATAGGTCTTCTTTTGTCTAGGTTTGTATATGTCTCTTCTGAGGCAAATTCAGTTTTTGGTTTTTAAACTCTGCTTTTCTGTGTTAAGAGGAATATAGCCCATATGAAATAATGGGGCATATTGCTAATATTCATATCTTTATGGAGATGGATCAAGCTGAGCCTTTAATCTGTGGTGCAGCTGAACTTGATTTTCGCTTCAGCTACTTTGATCTCAAGGTTTAAAAAAACTCTTTAGGAACTTATTATCTCAAGGTCTTTAAATACCTTTTGTTTTCAGCTTTGACAGTGCAGCTAGGTCAAAAATGTCTTGCCTGGATTTCAGCTTCTGCTCCCCCACCCTTTTGTTTGTATTTTGTACTTGCCCATTACTAACTCAAACAGCCTTGTGACGTGAGAGCTGAATGCAGGATATGCAATCTTCTGGCTCAGTAAAGATCTTTAGCTGTGATCATTTTAACACTTGGAACTAGTGTAAATACAGATGAGCTGCATTTCTTTTCCTTACTGCAGCTTCATCTCCTAAGCAGGTTACTACTACAATACATGGGTTATCCAGCAATTGAGAGTTGGAAATGTTACCCCCCAGGTACCAGAGCCAGGAATATGTGTCATGTTTTGCCCATAGAGACAGAAGCTGTGAGTGCTGGCTCCTGCTATTTTGGGGTGTGGTTCTGTGGTCAAACACTGGGAATGTGAAGTTTGGCTTTGGTATTGAATGGGGTGTGGACTTGCTATAGTTGGAGGCAGAGAGTGTGAATCCTGGCATTGGTGCCCTTGGATTCTTCTGCCTCTTGAGTGTGACTCCTGGTTCTGATGCCTGGAGAGTGATGTCTCTTGCTGGGCAAATGACTTTGGTATTTGAAACCCCGTTAAAAATAATTGGAATAAGATTAGAAGGAGGGGAAATGCTAAAATCAGGTTTCTCATTGTGATTCTACAGCGTTCTCGGCCGCTGTCTGCCAGTGATGCTGAGATGAAAAACCTTACGCCCTCAGCAAAGGAGAAAACAGTAGGAAGGCATTTTGGCTCCATGCTGGGGCTCTCCATGGAGGAGGTAAGGGTTGTCATGTACTATATTCGCTCACTGGACTTGGTACATGTGCAGAAGAAGCGAACAATTAGTCACCATGAATGGGTGCATTTGGCTGCCAGATGCCTCTGCCTTGTGTCAGCAGACTGAGGCTGGCATCTTGGCAGCATAGATAGGGAAATTAAGGGACAAAGAATAAAATGGTTTGTCTTTTGAAAGTGGAACTGTTAATATTGACCCCATAACTAAATGATTCACAGGGATTATGTGTATCTCAATGCATTCCTTCCCAAGGTTAACCCTTTCCATTATTTGTTTTTATTTATTTGAAATATTTATTACTCACCTTTCATGAAAACTGATGCCAGGTCAAGTTACATCAAGACGACAAAACCAATTCAAACCTAAACAACTAAAAAGTACTAATGCCTTTCATTGCTTGTTCTGATTCCAGATAAAAGTCTTGCGTCGAGTGAAGGAGGAATATGAGCGAAGAGGGGGATTCATTCGTATATTCCCTACGCCATTAACTTGGGACACTTATGGGTGAGCAAAAAGTCTAATTTTGATTCTTTCATCCTGGAATGATAGAAGACATTAGGAGGTAGAAGATGAAAATGCTAATTTATTCCCGCCTTAGTACACTGTCAAAGACCATTCATTATGCTTTAAATTTCACTTTCAGGGTCTTTTTGCATATCAAACGTTATCCTGTCGCCTTTTGTGCTATCTAATTCTTACCAGCTTCCTTTTTAGTCTTACCTTTTCCTCCATTCCTGACAGATGAAGCTATTTCCCCCTCACTTTTCATGATAAGCTTTCACTTTTTCCTCACTGAGTCTTCCATTTTTAAATACTCCTAATCTGAATTTAAACTGGCTCCCTTCCTCTTGGTTTTTCAGATCCTATATGGAGCACAAGACGACAATGAACTATATGCTGGCCTCTCGCCTTTTCAGCGACAGGTAGGAAAGTGGGTCTAGGAGTCTGCAGTACAGAAGGAGACCCATAGGAGGAAAGAGAAATGAAAGTGAACATGAAGAGCAGATTGCTTGTAGACAAAGTACTGGGTCCATTGGGCAGTTGCTTGTAGAATGTGTTTTGGCTCTTAGCTCACTAGCTGGAGCAAACAGAAATAGAGTAATTCACAGGCTTATAAAGAAGGCAGTTTTCAAGAACATAACAATTGCCTTGGCTGTTCAGATGAAAGCCCTCCTCAATGGGTAGCTAGCTCCTTCTGGAGGTTCATCAGAAGAGCCTTCTAGATCAGACCAATGGACCACCTAGTCCAGCATCCGGTTCTCACAGTGGCCAACCAGATACCAGTTGGCCAACCAAGCTGATTTGGGGAGTGAGGAGAGAAGGTGAAAAGCCTTGTTATGGAAGCCTTTTTGCGGGACTTTTGCTGATGGGATTCATTAGACGAATCCTGCCTTGGGCTTTTAATGTATCTGTTTTATGTTGATGTAGTGTAATGTAACCACAATATTCTTTTTTCACTGTTCTGCAGAGGGTCAAGAAGATGCCTAATTTCTAAACGAACTCGGTAAGCAGCTTGTATAGGCAAGTTATTAAAGGAAAAGGGTTGGTTTTGTATTTTTGACCATGCAGTCACCTTAGACTTTAGATGGGACTCTTTTTGTCAAACAATAGAAGGTTGTTTTCAAGGCTAATTGCTGTGTTTGGGGTAGTGAGAAATGTACCCTATGCACTGAGACATCCAGCACGAGGTCTTTTACAGAGGAATTGGGTTTTTTTTTTTGCGGTGGGGGCTGTAGTTGTGGAGGGAAGTGGTAACCTTCTGCTTCCCATTTTCTGTGACCCTCATTCCCTGGCCAAATATTCCTTGCATGGGAAATAGTCTTAAAAGTGTTTCTGTGTTAGGGGGTTCCCTCTTTGGTTGTCTATGTCATTTCTTTGGATTTCACTATCATGGGACTGATTGTTGCTCTGCCATTATGAAATGGTTGTGAAAGCTGAATTAGTTACTTGCTATTATTGTTTTGCCAAGGTCCAATATTAATGTTCTAATGATTGCATAGTTAAACTCTCAACCAGCTGTTTTTAATGGTGTAAACTGGTGGTCCTGAGTATTGTGTTGCTGGATTTTTGTGATTTTCAGTTACTACTTTAAACTGTGTGTTGGCCAGAGAACATCCATTTGTGTGTGTGTGTGTGTGTGTTTTCCAATATATAAAAAGTCAGAGGAGAATTCAAAACAAAATGTCAAAAGCATAATAATAATAATAATAATAATTATTATTATTTATTTATACCCTGCCCATCTGGCTGGGTTTCCCCAACCACTCTGGGTAACTTCCAGCAGAATATTAAAATACAATGATTCATCAAATAACACAAGCTTCTTACCTGGCCTATGTGGTCTCTGACTAGGAGTTTTCCCAGTTACCGTAAATTTCGCTCCATAACACGCAGTTTTTTCCTCCTAGAAAGTAAGGGGGAATGTCTGTGCGTGTTATGGAGCGAATGCCTGCAGATGGCGGGGGAATCTGCTGCAGTCGTGAGCAGTCCGTGGCTCGCTTTGAAACAGCAAAGCGGGTGTAAGCGGCTCCTGTCAGCTAGCGGAGCTGGGGAGGAGGGAGAGAAGCAGAGCGGGAGTTGGCTGCTTTAAAACAACCCCTGCTCTCTGTCCCTGCCTGCAGTTTTTTGCTGTCCGATTTTGGATTAGCAGTGGCTATGTGTGGGGCTGTGTGTGTGTGTGAGAGGGCTCCTTCTCCTTCTCTTGCTTCCCGTTCACTCTCCCTGCGCCCCTGCGACTTTAGAATTGACACTCTGTGTGTCTCTGTGTGTGAGAGGGCTCCTTCTCCTTCTCTTGCTTCCCGTTCACTCTCCCTGCGCCCCTGCGACTTCCAGCGCCCTGCGCCTTTAGGGCCAGTTCTCTCTCTCTCTCTCTCTCTCTCTCTCTCTCTCTGTGCGTTTTGACCTCACTGCGCTTGTTGGGGGAGAGTGTTGGTTGCAATTTTTCTTGATTTGTCTCAGAGTGGTTACTATCGTGGTTTCCTTGCCGGGGAGGAGGGAGAGAAGCAGAGCCTGCTTGTTTTAAAGGAGCAAAGCCGGAGAGGAGCCTCTCCTGCATTATTAGCAGCATCCTTCTCCACACACCCCATGCGTGCTCCTTGTCCCTTGAGTGCTTTTCCTTCCCTCCCCACTTAAAACGTGGTTACAAAGCACGGATCCACATGGATCCTCAGGATTTTTGCACTGGGTCACCCCAGACTCACCGTCAGATCACATGTCTGTGGCCACAGCATGAACCACAAAAAACATACATCCACTGTTTCATTTAGAATCTTTTTTTCTTGTTTTCCTCCCCTAAAAACTATGTGCGTGTTATGGTCAGGTGCGTGTTATAGAGCGAAAAATACGGTACTTGGTTGTAGAAAATAGTTGTTTCTTTAACCAATCTCTAAAAAGGGAGATCAACATAGACTACCTCAGAACAGCAAAACATGGACAAGCAGGAAATTGTCCCTGGGCATTCTAGACCCAGAGGGAAGTTCTTTCTGTGGCCCTGAAAACTCTATTGAGTTTTCCAGTTCTGCTTTTTCAGGAAGCAAAATCTGAAACTGAAAGAGAAGGATGTGCGTAGTGCTGCAGCTAGCAGGACAAATTTTGGATTGGCTATCAGAGATTATGATTTTATTCTAAGTTGTGTTTTCCAGAAAATTGAAATTAAAATATAAATTTTAAAATAGTGTGGCCAGTCCCTGCAGAAAGCAGAGCTTGGAGTCACTCCCTTTCAGAAACCTCAAGTTAGTGTAATGTACATAGATTTGTCATGAAAATTAATAAATCTTTTAGGAAGAAAGAAATAGTTATAGTTTTGTTGTGTACTACCTGTTGGTGGTCCTTATAAAGAATTATTGTAGATGTAGTGATATTTACAGATTAAGCAACAACAGTTCTTTGAGGCCATTAATTAACATACCAATAGATCATGGATAGCTCAGTTGGTTAGAGCATGGTTCTGATAACGCCAAGGTTGCAGGTTTGATTCCCGTGTGGGACAGCTGCATATTCCTGCATTGCAGGGGGTTGGACGAGATAATCCTCAGAGTCCCTTCCAACTCTACATTTCTATGATTCTATTATCCCTGGACACTGGGCAGAGTGGCTTTCCTATCAGCTAGTTGTGCCCATTGACTCATTACAGTACTTATTTTGCATTTTCACCAGTTGCTCAGATAACAGAAGGTTAGAGAAGTATGAATTTCTTAGTGCAGCTGGCTGTTTGCCTGTGGAGAAAGAACATGACTTACAGTAAGGTCAGAACACAGAGGCATTAGCACAGTTTTAAGCAATAACTGGCTACTTCCCCATGTTCAGAATCTTATTCAGTAGCCTACAGGTGGTGCTCCATTTTTCCTGGTCCGCAGCACATGACAGACATAGATAACATTTCTGCTGCAGACAAACAGTTCATAAATTGCAATTCGATTGTCACAGATCTTGATTTCTGAACAAAATAATCTAATATCTGTGAGATTTATTTTGGTTTAAGTCTGTTTCACATTTTCAGTAGGCTGTATGTTTTAAACTGTGGTTGTAATTTTTTTAGTGATAATGTTATTGTTTTATCTTTTTTGTAGACTGCTTTGAAGTCTTTTCTATAATGAAGCAGTATATAATTTTAATGAAATAAATAAATCTTGCATTTTACATTGTAGTGTGTAGTTCAATGAGCAAGCACTTGTTCTGTAGGTTGTCTACTCTGGCTCTCTTTTGATTAAAAGAGAACAAATAAATATTTAGCAAGCAGAATAATTCAAAACTAAGTAGGACTTAAAAGGAAATTCCCTATAATGTTCTTTGTATTCTGCACCATAGGAAAGTATATCATTAATATTAAAGAGTCTTCACACATACAGCGAAGCTGAGAGAGGGATGCATTTCCATTCATTTCAAAATTCATCCCTGGAAAAACCTCTCCTCTTCTGCAGTCGGTTCTTCAGGCACAAGATGCCAGTTTCCAAAATCACTTTTTTCCAGGCAGAAAATTGCAGAAGCCTTAGGTTTCTTGCACTTTAACTCCTCCTAGTTAACAAGATATATCATCAACAGGCACAAGACAGAGTTCAAAGGTGCAGTCTTTAAAATCACACAATTCTTGCTCTTTTACTCTTTAGAGGCCTTGACTTGCAACGTGGTCATCTCGCCGCCAGATGTCTCAGGACCGAGTCCAGGTAATAAAACTACTCACTCGCCCCCCCTCCTTTGGATTTACATATGGCTTCACATACCCTTTGATCCCAACTAGGCAGTAGTTCAAAGCTTTATAAACTGGGGCTAGCTGCAAGCTCTTGTCCCCTCTACTCAGCCTCAAGTACAGTCTCTGCTTCAGAAAATTCACAGATCTCAGCAAGATCTCAAAAAGATACAAGTATCATAACTTCCTATTTTCTTTTCATAATTCCAGCATTGCAGACAGTAGAGAATATTGCCAAATCTTGGAGAAACCTTATGAAACGTTTTTATCAGCATCTTCCACATTATTCCATGTGTGGAGAAGCACTGAGTTCACTAGGCTAGGATCTTTCTTCATATTTCCCCCCAAAGTTTGGGGGGAAATATAAAGAAAAATCCTAGCCTAGTGAACTCAGTGCCCTCCTCAAAGGCCACGTTGGGGAATTCTCAACCACCTGTGAACTCTTGTTTCCCTTCAGCTTCTGAATGCAGACATATTTCTGCTGAAGGGTTTCACCCTCACAGTTGCTGAGTTTAGCCAGTATTTCTGCTCTTGGTTCATATAACCTTACAGGCTGTTCCAGTAAGACCTAGGAAGTCTTCAGTTACAGAATTATAATTAAAAAGTAAATTTGTGTGCATTTAAGGAGATCAAAGTTTACATTGCTTTAAAGTAAATGGAATTAATTCAAAACAAAATATCAAAAACATGGGAATAATAGTTAATATTTCTTACACACCTAGCCTATAGTGTCTGATCCAGAGGTCTTCTAAGTACTGTACTTTTGAAATTATTTATTATTTATTGAATTTGCATACCATCCTTCATCTGAAGATCACAGGACGGTTCACAACATTAAAATGAGAACACCAAATACAGAGAAAACAAAAGCAAAAAAAAAATTCCCCTCCCACAAACAAAGGCAATAGAACATTTAATCAGCCAAAGGGAACTGTTTTAGCCAATCTGCCAGAATATTGTCCACCCCTGCCTGATGTTCCTCTTTTATAGAAGCCAGATGGGTCGTTCTGTTAACCGAATGCCCTCCAGTCCACTTTTTCATTTGACCCACCCTGGTTCTGCTTGTTGCCTTCCAGGTTTAGGGGTGGAATAGACATTCCTGTTGAGGTCATCTCAGTTATCTAGGAATTCCTTTTCACTGTGTGAGGTAGTCTTGTTCTGTGTTAAAATACACTGTTTTATATCTTTGTGTGACATAATTTTTTGCGTGGAACATGGTTTATGGAGTTTGCCTGTGTTAGGGGTTGAGGGATCTCCTTAGCTCAGTCATTATGATCTGGAGCAGGGGTCCAGATCTAAGGCCCGTCTGAGTTGTGGATTTGGCCTGCGCCACGAAGCCAGAACTCGCTGTGAAACCAAGACTCCCGGCAATGGCAACGGGAGGAAGAGGCTGAGTGGCGGCGGCTCTGCCAATCAAATGCTGCACCTGGTTTTCCTCAGCACAGCGCAGGGCAGTATTGTTCAAAGGGCACTGCCTATATTCTCTAGTAGGAAGAGTCATCCGGTTAACCGAATGTCCTCCACTCCCCTCTTCAAACAAAATCACAGTAGTACCAATTTCTGGGTTTTTTGCCAGGCGCATACTTGACTGTTGAAAATGCTATTTTATGTAGCTTCCTTTATTTAACCAATGCCTACTGCTTGAGGTTAGACATATGGTTCTTCAGAACAGCATGGCATGGAAGAGCAGGAAATCATTACATGTTCTAGGCTCCAAATATATCAGAGGCACAGAAAACCACTTTTTAAAATGCTTCTGACCCTGCCTTTTCACGGCAAAATCCAGTCTCTCACGGAGAGTGACGACAAATTAACTTTGTACATTTTGCTCACAAGGAGCAAGGCTTGCACTGGCTAGTCAGTGACGATGTCGTTTTGAGCTTTCCCTTACAGGAAATGGAAATTAAGCATCATTTATACTGTGTTAATAAGTCTTTGTTCTTTCCCCTGTTCCTACAATTTTCTACTGTTCCTTAGCTTGCGTTAATATATTGTTTTATATTTTTAATTTTGTGGGCCAATCGTGAGTGGTTCTCCCTGAAAACCAGCATATAAACTAATTAAATAAATTTTCACAACTTCACAAAGCATAGTTTGCCCGAATATCCGACATTCCTTTTACCATTCATAGGTCACATGCATTTAACCTTAAGTATCTATCTAGCAGGATGAAGAAGTGGGGAGAAGATTTGGGAGGTTTTAATTCACAAAGGAAATGTCACAGGCTAATTCTAATGAAGTTTTAGACTGAAAAGATGAATAACTGACAAAACTTTAAAAATCCAGCTAGTTTCCTTCACACAGGGCTGGCTCACAGAACTACCAAACCTGGGATTTTTAAAATGCATTGTATTGCTTTTCCAGATTCAGAGTGATTACTACAACATTGTATGGCGTTGAATCCATTGAGTTAGCACAGTGCAGCCTGTTGAGGAAACCTTAAGAGAATAAGATCCCTGCTGGATCAGGCCAAGCAGAAAGTCTAGTATTCTGTTCTCACTGTGGCCAGCTAGATGCTTTCATGAAGCCCACAAGTGCATGAACTCTCTCCCCACTTGTAATTCTCAGGCATCCAGTAGTGAAGAACTTCATTGTAGCCACTATATGAATCTAAGCGGGAGTTCTCAGTTTTCAGAATCCAGTATCCTCGTTATCCTTGCCTGCATTTAAAAAGGGTATTTCAGCATTTCTAGAATTGTTTTGCCTGATGACAATTGCGTCTCAATTCCCACAAGGGGGTGCATGGAATGAATTACTCCTTTGCATTCACCAGTAGCAAAATATACCTGTGCTGTGCTGGCTGGTGACTATCTCTGTTGGAGTGTTCTTGGCATCTGGAATTGCAGGGAATGCCCCTCCTAAAGTTTTATTGCCTTTCCTGGCATACCATTGGACATATTTTCTAAGCATACAGCTTTTTAGTGGAAAATAGTTTGCTTTTAAGAGGAAAGGAAAATGCTCAGGGATTTTTGGTGGAAATCTTTTTAAACTTCTTCTAAGACAGCCCTTCAGTATAGGAAAACAAATCTTAAAAACAATGGGTCCAAGAACTGATGGCTTCTGCCATGGCCTAATGGTGCCCTGATTTGATTAGGATTTCAATGTTCAACACAGAGGCTGAGTGATGTGGCATATATCTTATAACTGGTGCGGTACTATAATGGTGGGAGTGATAAAGATATTTCTTCAGATCCTTGTTTTAGATCCTTGTTCAGCTGTGCACTGAAGCTCATAGGTAGTCCTAAACAAGTTTTTTTCTTTTTAAGCATAACATACTTCACAGAGCTGTGAGGCTACAAGACTGTTCAGGAGTAGAGTAGGATACAAATACAGTGGTACCTCAGGTTAAGAACTTAATTCGTTCTGGAGGTCCATTCTTAACCTGAAACTGTTCTTAACCTGAAGCACCACTTTAGCTAATGGGGCCTCCCGCTGCTGCCGCGCCGCTGCTGCCCAATTTCTGTTCTCACCCTGAAGCAAAGTTCTTAACCCAAGGTACTATTTCTGGGTTGGCGGAGTCTGTAACCTGAAGCGTCTGTAACCTGAAGCGTATGTAACCCAAGGTGCCACTGTAAGATGTATTTGGGCAAGGGATGTCCTGGGAGGAGTTGGATAGGCCTCCCTGGTATTAGCTTTCATGTGCACAAATCCAAGGAACTTAATGCTGCATAATCATAAAGAGACCACTATCTTTCCAGTTGGGCCCATGAAGCAGATAGATGTATGAACAAATAAACTGCTTCCTTGTTCAGCCAGTTTCCTCCCCCCACCTCCCATCCCGGCCCTCCAGCTACTATCCTGTG